ACTAAAACTGGCAAAATGTAAGTGAACTCATTAAAAGTTTTAAGAGGTTTAAATGGTATAGTTAATAAGGTATTTGAATGAGTTGAATATGTGAAAACGCATTATAATATCAAAAAAACTGAACGCTTCTAAATGCATTAACTTTTGAGACATGCAAAGTCGTTAAGTTTTTGTTCATGCATTTAATGTACTCAAACGTGTTAAAGGTACCAAACGTCGAGTTAACACGCATTCAAAGAAAAGTACTTTTTTATAGCACGATGTTCCGGTTGTTTTATGGGTAAACCGGAATTTCGGCAATGTTGATTTTCCGGTAGAATTGATAATATTGTCGAATTTCCACAACTGCCGAAATTCTTTCGGAATTACGACAATGATAATTTTTACTGGATATTTTCTTGTCCAATTTCCGCTAGACTTACAACCTTGATAACTTTTGCTGGACATTTTATTGTCCAATTTCCATTGGAATTCGGACAATACACACATCAATTGGAATTATAATGTATTGTAGAAATACAAATTTTCTTGTTTATAAGTAATATGAAGAAAAGAATTACCGAGTTGGGACTAAGTGTCACACAACAGACTAAATTCATTTATTTTTTCAACCAACAAAGAGGGTTGTAGCCTTCTATATAAGCTGAAAACATCTCGGGACAAAGTTTGTACCATCTCCCAGCCCTCTCAGATATGGTATGAAAAACTTCCTAAGATGAGGGTAATATACTCTGGGAGTAAAATCTTCGATTATTATTCTGCACAGTCACAGAGCGAATTTATCTTTTCTGACCGATTGTTTTAATCAAGGACACAGTTATTGCACTTTAGAAGAACTATAACTTCCCGTCCTGTGGGACAGACGAGGTCGGGGCAAGAAAAAAATTTCACGTGCTCGGGCTTACGGGGTTGTGACAAATTGCAGGAAAAGGTGTCCCGTAGGTTTTGTCTTTTGATTGTAATTATACTACAACTTCAAATGTTTAATTCTTGTAATACTATGAAGTCAAAAGTCGTAATTTTATAATAACTAATAAAAACTAACCTGAAGAGGCGAAATAGTCTGGATTTAAACTTGAGAAGATGTTCCATATCTAAAACTAGGTTTACAGTCCTTTCCTTTCGATTCTGAGCTAGTGAGTGGATGTAAACGATTTTTGTACACAGCAACTTTTAAGTTTAGAATCAAATAAATTAGAGTTAAATTTTTCCATGCGGATTTTTTGGAGTTTGAAATTTTAAGCGTCTTTTGTAACAGTTACGGTTTTTCACAACCGAAAAAAATTTTCAAAAAATTACGGAACAGAAAAGCCCGTAAATTTTTTTCACGGGGCAGAGGTTTGGGACAACGTTATTTACTGACGGACTCGGGCTTACGGAACGGGACAAAAATTTTTATGTTCGGGTTCGAGGCAACAGAAAAGTATTGTCCCGCAGGACTCTAAAGAACTAGCCAAAATATCTCAGCGTCAATTGTCTATCATTATGGTCTCCGGCACTGGCTGTTTTATCAATAACCCGAGAACGAAATCTCATGATTTTTAGCATTTTGAAGTCAGTACTTTGACGTAACTTTCAAGGTAAAATATTTTAGAGTACCCGTCTTGTCAGAGAGTTTTCGGAAGATCCTTGAAAAAGTGTTATGGATCAAAAACGTAAGGCAAACACATATATGGGAAGCGTTTCTAGAAAGACGTCGAAGTAATCAACCATTTCTCAAACTTTTCGGTCCGCAATCAGGTTTAGCACACACAATTATACACAATAAGATGAATGAAGAAACAAAACATGTAGAAAAATTTAGAAGAATTTTTCTTCAACACAACGTACGTTTGCGAACCACAAATATGTACGCATATGTGCAAGTTCTAGAGAATTCTAACTAAACATAATCTTGATTAGCAACATTGTTATTGGTTGCAGCTTTAGACCCAAAAGCAGCATCTTTTCTCTTGTTTTTAATTGCTGTCAATTCACCAACGAAACACGAAAGACAAAATTGATTCATTACAGTCTTAACTATTGTGTATATTGTCCAAATTCCAGTTAAAATTCGAGAATAAAACATCCAGCAAAAATTATCATTGTCGTAATTCCGAAAGAATTTCGGCAATTGTGGAAAATCGACATTGCCGAAATTTCGGTTGTCGAAATTCTATAGATTCGTTTTATGACCTTTGCAAAAGATGATCCTTTCTAAAAACTTTTGATTTCTTTCAACAAGTGAATAGTACAGAAACACGGTGGTTTTGAGAGATATTTTTCCAGTGGTTATGATTATGTATAATAAATAAAGTCGTTGAACGTAGCTGGTGAGTTGGATAAATTGAAGAATTTAACAAGGTGACACTTTAGGTCAGGTTATTTTCTCACTCATCTGTCTCTTAACGATTCGAAAGCAGTTTCATAAAAGTGCGTTCGCTTTAAGGGGCACCTTCTAATTTTCGATCGTCGTACGAGAAAGAAGAAGAATACCTCGTCTTGCAGTCACCGAAAACTAGCCGAAGAAGTTTATTGTACGTACAAACTCGAGCGAAAATGTCCGATGAAGTGAAAATTTAACGAGATCTGGAAAATCGATCTATTTGCATAGAATATTCTATTCAAGTTTTCTAGTGATTTTCTAGAGAACTAGGCTTTTAACTTCCGTTTCTTGCGCACTCATCAAAAGATGTTTGGTTTATCAACCGGTGTCGGAAACTATAAGTCCGATTTTGACAAACGTTTAGGAGATGCTGATCTTGTGAAGGTATGGTGACGAAATTTTTTGTTTAGCTTCACTGTGTATGATTTGTGAGATGTCGCCACAATAGTGACGAAAATGAGCTGTTCGTAGCTTCCAGATTTCTCAGTAACTAAACATTGTGAAGAGCTCGGGCTGATCTTAAATTGACGAAAACACATGTGGCTAGAGGCTAATAGAGTCGGATTTTTGATATTTGTCTGTTCAAATTATGCTCAGCGTCAAAAGCCCAAAATTCGATAATACAAGTTACTTTGTCAAAGGTGCTTTTCTAGTCATAAATCTAGACTGAACATCAAAAATCGGACTCTATTATCCTCTAGTCATATGTGTCAGCTTCAATTTAAGACCTTTCAGAGCTGTCTGCGATGTTCCATTACCGATAAATCTTGGAGCTACGAATGGTGTTAAGTTGAAAGCCGCTTTCAAGATATGGCGGCCCGTGTATCTGATGCATGTTTTACGGCTTCCAGCAAAACTCTCATAACTCCTGGTTAGAACATCATTCAGAGCTAGAAAAAATATTTCATTTTAATCAGAAATATTTGCTCTATTTTCCAATGTGGTGAAAGTAGTTTTTTATTTGCTTTTGGATCGAAAAGTAAAATTTTTTCGAAAAGCCAGCTTCTCAAGGTTTTCAAAAAACTTTTCTAAACACCTCCATACCCCTTCGATGAGGACTAAATACTTTAAACGTGTTAAAACAGCTTAAGTCATGCGAATCTCATAAGTTGTAACGAATTGACATGCAATCAGAAATTAAATGCGTTCACAGATCTTGAACAGTTTTATTGCACGTAAAGTCGTTAAAATTTCTTGCATTTACATGAATTCAGAAATTTTAATAAGTTAAACTGTATTAAAAAGCTGAACACATTCGAACGCCTTAAAATCTAATGTCTTCAAATGCATTTGAACACATTAAAACCTGTCAAAGCCTTAAAAGTCTTTAAAGTCTTTCAATGCCTTAAAGTTGAATGTGTTCGCATGAATTAAGAAATTTTAACACGTTAAAGTACCTTAAAAGGGTTTGACGCGTTGAGGAGCATTGAGTTTATCAGGTGTTAAAATCAGAAATTAACGAGTCAATTAACGCATATGAGTTTATTAATATTTCAGAGATGCGCGATTACAATTACAAACTGTAAAGTTGAAACACAGCAACTATTACTCCTAGATTTCAGAGTTTTAGAATTCTGAACTTTACATGCTCAAAATTCTAAAATTCTGAATTCTAGAAATAATAGCAATGTTTGAACTTTACATTTTGTAATTGTAATCGCGTAGCCCTCTTCTGATGTAAACGTTTTTGCTCTGATGACAGATATTTTCACTCAAATTTGTTCACAAGGACATTCGTGCTCTTTCTTTCAGTCGTCTTTTGGCCTCTTGCTTTTCGCTGCTCAAAGGGATTTCCTAGATGGGTAAAAACCGAAGTATCATCGCTTCTCGTGCCACTCATTTTCGTGAGAAGACAAAATCAAAACCGGCAATGCCTGTAGAAGTTCAGACCGAAAATATTATGAGAAAAGCTCAATGCCGAATGACTGTTACCCGACATAGAAAAGTCACAAAAATTGTTGAACCAAAAAGAAAGGCAAAGATCACCTGTTTGGAATCACGTAATACTTTTTGATGTGATTTTTGCTTTGATTCCATTATGTCTATCTCTGGTTTACTTTAGCTGAGATGAATGACGAACAGCTACCAATGATTGTTGATCGAATGCAGATAACAGATGGTCAGATCAGTGACGCAGAGGAAAACGACACTATTGATATCTCAAAAAAAGATGCTTGTTAGTCTTACAGCAATTTTTCAGGTAAAACGGGTGAAGAAAGTTACTGGCCTAATGAAGAAAACATGACAGCTGACGTGGCAGATAACGAGCAAGAAATACCAATTGATGATGAAACAGACGACGCCGCGGTATTCTCAATGTTTGATATAGCCAATATTTTGGCAATATTTAAGTTAAAAGAGAATGTATCACGTTCTGGCATGGATAGTTTACTAGCATTACTACGTAT